GGAAAGAGAGCATGGTGGTCAAACAGAGCCAGACAAGCCACAGACCAAATCTTGGGATGTAAATCTGTGTGTGCTTGTGTGTTGACTTCCTTTCTGTATGATGTCTGGAAAGTAAATTTTATTTTCTCTTTTCAGGGAGTGGGGCGTGTGTCTTCTAGGGTTGGTTTTTTTCCCTTTGTACTTGCCTGTTTACTGTGTCTGCTGTCGAAGTAGAGCTGAACCCTGAGAACTGAACGTTTTTACCTTGGACTGTTTCTCAGGGTATATCTGTTATGCCGCAACAGACTGAGACACTGAGGGATGAAATCTGTTTGCAATTAGAACATACCTCTGACTTTTGGGAAAGGAAGGAGGGGGAATGACTTACAGGTGAAGAAAGGTGAAAGAAGAGGCTAAGAGTTTCTCTTCTTTAAGACTGTTTTGTCTTCTAGCAGTAGAGTAGAATCAGTCTGTTTCCTAAACTGAATTCTTTCATGCTGAAAGGAGCATTTTTTTGAGGAGAGAACTTCATTTCATGCTGTGCTGATGAGAACGCCAGCCTGGACTGGAGAGATTTTGATGGGTGAATTTTTGAGTGTGTGTTTGTGGTGTTTGCAGTGCTTTGGCATTGACAGATGATCCTTGCAGCCAAAGGTGAGGCTGGCTGACCCTCCCTGAGCAGTTTCCATGACAACCTAGCATTTTTGAATAATCTTGGTTTATAGGAAATCTTTTCCTCCCTCCCCTTTTTCCCAGTGTTAGTTTCACCATTTTTTGGTTTTTTTTCATCACACCTTAAAAGAGTTTTACCATTTCTTGAGAGAAGTATGAATATAATACCCTCTCCCACCCTCCATTTAGAAACATTTCTCCATCATGTTTCAGGAAAGAGTTTTTTTGGTGACTTGGAATAAAATTAGCTGTTTTTCTAATAACTGATTATACTGACTGGTTGTTCACATCTTAATTTCTATTTCTCTTACAAAACAAAGCAGTTATTTAACTGAGATGTGAGCTTGTAGCAAGCTCTTAGCTCTGCCATTGTCTAGGTAAAAGTTAGCAAATCCCTGTCCCTCAAAGAAAAGAGGCAGAATAAGCAGTTTTCATGGGCAACAGTTCTTCCATCAGTCACTCAGTAGCGTTTGAAGTGAGTAGCCCTGTCTGAGCACCCAGGCACTTCAACCAGGCAGCTTTTGCCTTGTGTCATTGTATTCATGGTAATTTATTGTCCTCTACTGCAGGACATATTTGAGGTTCTCTTTTTCAGTGTTTTAGGCACTGCTGTTCTGAGTTTGGCAGTGCTACATTTGAATGACTTGTTTGACAGTTATTTTTACAAGATAGTGTAGGTTTGTGTTACAAGTGTGACATTGGCATTATAGTCTTACTAGCGCTCTAAGATCTCTGTCCATGTGCTCAACTTGTCTTTGCCTGTCGTGAATATTACTTATTTCATAGAATTGTTATGGTTGGAAAAGACCTTTGAAATAATCAAGTCCAACAGTTAACTAACTTAACACCCCCAGGTCTTTTTCTCCCTGGCAGCTTTCCAGCCGCT